GTCAGTTATCTCGAAAGTGGTAGGTCAAGAAATCTGAGGTTTTCAACCTTTAATGTATAAACTTACTTAAGTTCACAGCAGGTTATCTTCCCACCAATGGACTTGTGATCCCCTGACCAGACCTCTATTTTACCTTTTTCACTTTTCTGCTGGGATTGGTGAGGAGCACACCCAGACACCTGCACTGGGTGGTAAAGGGAATAAAGGGAGTGGGGTATAACTTCTTTGTATAATGATTCTCTAGCAATTCCTCTTATTTTTTAAAACTTTTTATTTTGAAATATATGTGCCGCAAGGTCCCATACACTCCTTGCCTAGTCTCCCTCAATGATTACATCTTTTATCATTATAGTGCCCTACCCAAACTGGGACATTAATATTGGAATGTGTGTTGTATAGCTCTGTGGCATTTTATCACACATGTAGATTCATGTAACTGTCACTGCAATCATCACAGAACCACTGCATCGTCATAAACACCTTCCCTGAGCTATCCCTTTATATTACATCCACCCCTACCATCCCTAACCCTGGCAGCCACTAATCTGCTTTCCATCTTCTATAATTTCGTTTCATTTTGAAAATGTTATACAATGGAATCATATAGTTTCTATTTGGGGGGGATTTTTTTTTACACAGTATAATGCCTTTGTTTTTTTTTTTAAGATTATTTATTTATTTATTTATTCATGACAGACACAGAGCGAGAGAGAGGCAGAGACAGGCAGAGGGAGAAGCAGGCTCCATGCAGGGAGCCTGATGTGGGACTCGATCCTAGGTTTCCAGGATCACACCCCGGCTGAAGGTGGCGCCAAACAGTTGAGCAATCGGGGCTGCCCCAGCATAATGCCTTTGACATCCATTTGACCTGCTTAATATATCAGTGGTTTGTTCTTTTTTATTGCTGAGTACTAGTTCAAACTATGGCTTTGCCACAGTTCATTTAACGCTTCACCTACTGAAGGACATTTTAGTTGTTTCCTGTTGTTGGCTATTACAAATAAAGCCCTGTGAACATTCATGTAATGTATGCATGTATGTGAAGTATGTATGTTCAATTTTTTTCTTACTATTTTTATTTTTTTTAAGATTTTATTTATTCACGAGAGACAGAGAGAGAGAGATAGAGGCAGAGACACAGGCAGAGGGAGAAGCAGGCTTCATGCAGGGAGCCTGATGTGGGACTCAATCCCGGGTCTCCAGGATCATGTCCTGGGCTGAAGGCAGCACTAAACTGTTGAGCCACCAGGGCTGCCTTTTTTTTTTTTTTTTTCAAAATTTTTTTTAAATAGACTTAGTAAGATATAATTTGCATTACATATACTTCACCCACTTAAAGTGTATGATGTAATATATTTTAGTATATTTAGAGCCCTTCCTCTCTTGAGACCCCACTGACCCACAATGGACTGTGACAACGAGGGAGAAATAAACCTTTACTATGGTAAGGCACTGAGATTTGGGGGTTATTTGTTACAGCATTTAGTCTGTCCTGACTAATTTGGCTCCATCTTTGGAGAAACTGCCTTTACCTCCTGGATCTCAATTTCTTCTTCTGAAAATGAGGGGTTCAAAATAGGGATTCTCTTGGTTGTGTGTCAGCTAGCACACTCCATTTATAAATCTTGTGTTATTATTTCCAAGTGGTTTAAAACTCTGCAAGGACTAATTATAGAATTTCTCAACTATAACAAGGAGTAAGTTCTCCATTTACAGATGGGTTGTGTTCCAAAAGTCCAGGCAGAAGTTCCTTGTTGGAACATTGTTTCTGTGAGAAAATAGATTCAATATTTTAAAATATACACAGATTCCAGCTTAAACCTCAGTTCTGAGGCCCTCTGATCCCCAGATGGAGGCAGTGAGTGAGGTGGGAGAACAGGGACTGAGCAGAGGTTCTAGGGCATGATTTGAAAGGGAAAGAAAGGAGGGTAGGATGGTCTAGACCACCGGCCAGGATGTCAGCTGCACAAGGTTCCTTAGGAAGCCATAGAAACCATTATACATGTTAATCGTTCCTGACTTGGATACTTCTAATTCTATATATACACAACTCTTCATTTTAACTGTTCTTAGGTGTATGTTCTGTGCAGGAAAGAGATTAATTTTCCATAGAGCTAATGAAGCTTAAGCTTCAGGGTTCTCATTCACACATAGAACACTTCTAAGGCCCTAGAAAGATGTCTGCAAGGTCATTTGTTTTTGTAAAGTTTGAAAAAATAAGATATTATAACTGCTGCAGGAGGTCAAAACTTCTATTTCTGCTTTGACTTTCCTTTCTTCACGTTTGCCCTTGTGTTAGATGGCACTGGAATGGCTACAGGCATTTTTTTGAAATCCAGCTAAGGAGAAGTTTAGTTGGAGAGACACTCCATTTAGGATCTATTCACATGGTTTAAAATTACTTCCATGCATAGTTGAACTTTTACCCACTGAAGGAATAACTCTAGAAGTCTCTTATCCACTCATGTGCTGACTCACCTCATGTTATGACCTATAGGTGTATGGCCAGAGTTCAAATCAAGATCTAAATGTGTCCTACATTTAGAACCTGGTACCAGAACTGTGCAGGAGTGGAAGAAAACAAAGCTTAGAAGATGTATGAAGCCAGAAAACAGTCTGAGGAAAATTCTTCCAATTGTCAGCTGTGCAAAAATATAAGCAGAAGATTCTGTCCATATTGACATCTGGTCAAAATAAGTTTTGTTCTGTTGGCAATATACTCAATAACACAGTATATCATTATAAATGTATCATACTTTATTTTCTTCTTTGATGGGAACTGTCAAAATACAGTTTCTCAGAATTCTCATCTTTATATTTTTTTGATGACACAAATCACCAGTACCGAGGCAAATAATAAACAACTCATAATACACCAATTATAATGAGGTTTTCAAAGGCAAATTGGCTAGTAAATGTAGTCAATTTGAAGAGTATATCTAAGATTAGTCCTTGCATAGGAAAAATTTTAAAAGCTGACAAATACCACAAACATCATGAAAAACTCCCATAATAGTTTGATGAATTAAATGCTAGTCACACTTGAATATTACTTTTTTCTTACATTTTTGGCTATATACTCTTCGATTGCTTCTTCATTTGACAATGATTTAATAGTACCATTTTCTAAGAGAGAACAAAAAAGATAATCCAGTCTTTTCTTAGCATAGCAGATTAAATTTGTCCTTTATTCTAAGTTTCAAAAGATTTATTTATTTGAGGGGGGCAGGGGCAGAGGGAGAAAGACAGAGAAACCCAAGCAGACTGCACGGAGGTGCAGAGCCCAACACGGGGCTCAATCTCATGACCCTAAGATCATGACCCAAGCTGAAACCAAGAGTTGGATGCTTAACTGGCTGTGCCACCCAGGTGCCCCCAAATTTGCCTTTTATTATTTGATCATTTAGAAAAGTCTCTTTCACGTTCACAATTTGTTATTGACAATGTCATGTAAATTTAAGTTTGTTATCAAATTGGGGAAAGATATTGATCAAGTTTCTTTTGTCTGAGCTAAAATTCCAGAGCTTTAAAAAATGTGTAATTTGTGATTTTTTTTTAAAGATTTTATTTATTTATTCATGAGAGAGAGAGAGGCAGAGACACAGACAGAGGGAGAAGCAAGCTCCATGCAGGGAGCCCGACGTGGGAATCGATCCCAGGACTCCAGGATCATGTCCCGGGCCGAAGGCAGGTACTAAACCGCTGAGCCACCCAGGGATCCCCCTGTAATTTGTGATTTATTTTCTCATTGCAAATAGATACTCACTTTACATGTCTTTATATTTGTAATCTTTAAAAATTTTTTTAATTTAAATTCTAGTTAGTTAACATACTAGAACTCTGGAGTAGAATTCAGTGACTCATCACTTAATATCCAGTGCTCATCACAAGTGCCCTCCTTAATCTCCATCACCCATTTAGCCCATCCCCCACCTGCCAAGAACACCAACTGCCACAATTTTATAAGCATCATGCTCCCCAAAACCTTGCCAGCTGTAGTGTAGAGCATGCTCTTAGGTGCTGCTATAGCTATTTGAGGTGTTGGAGCTGGTGACTTAGGCCCCAAGCCCAGGAGCTGAGTATTGTCAGGTCATCTGGGCCAATCAAAAATGAAAAAAATGAAAAATGGACACAGGTTCAAAAAGTCACCAGAATCAAACTAAAATGCCTCTTTATGCGCTCGGCTCTGAGATATGTTAGGTCCCTAGTAACATTACCAGACCCACCCCTATCTTTGCTTCTCAAAGATCCCAGGATTAATGAGGAGCCTGCCATTCACCATCTAGGCTGGTGACGTTTTTTTCTGGCGAGTAGTGTTTCAAAACTCAAAAACACGCTCATGTCCTTAATGAAATTAAACACTTTACTGGCAATAATAGATACTTGTTCTAAAAAGCAAACAAAAAGGTGTTTACAAAAGCAAGGTGATTGCAGCTCCTTGAATATTAAGGATTGTCAAGGGTTTGTGCTAGCACCACCTAGTGACAAAAAGAGGTAAATTCGGCTCACCAAAATCTCAAAAACACCGGGGAGAGAAATGTTACCAGTGCTGTTGTGCCACCCCTACTCTTCTGGAAGTTGTTCAGGGTTACTGTGGTTTACTCAGTTTCACTGTGACTTTTGCTCATTAACTTATGTCCCCAAATAGACCAGGCAGAGATAGAAGTATGAAGTACAACCTGGGAGGGCAACAGACAGGGACCATTTTAGCCTCTGATAGCACTCTGCAGGGGTCACATTTTAGCCCCTTAGAAGTTCAGCAAACCACTGGCCTCATGTAGCAAGAGGCCCTTTAAGATGGCTGGCCAGGGGCCCAGGTGGCTCAGCAGTTTAGTGCCACCTTCGGCCCAGGGCATGATCCTGGAGACCCGGGATCGAGTCCCACGTTGGGCTCCCTGCATGGAGCCTGCTTCTCCCTCTGCCTGTGTCTCCGCCTCTCTCTCTGTTTCTCTCATGAATAAATAAAATATTTAAAAAAAAAAAAAAAGGCTGGCCAGGTGGGGAGAGGTCAACACAACTCTGTTGACTCCTGGCTGAACCTGCTGGATTATTCTGAACCATCCTGGCTTCTAACTGGAAACTGCTATCTGGGCTAACCCCTCGGTTTCTCTCCTTACTAGCTCTGTTTTTTCCTTCCCCTGGCTCAGCCCAGATTTTGCCCACCTGCATTCCACTTTGTTTCAGTTCCTTTCTTCTTTCCATTCTAATTTTCCCAAAACAAATCTGGCTTTAGTCATCTATTTGCAGCTTCTATTGAGTTTTTGTTTTCTTAAATTTTACTTCATCTGGTAAGTACACTTAATACGAGATCTACCCTCGAGGCACCTGGGTGGCTCAGTAGTTTAGAGTCTGCTTTTGACTCAGGGCGAGATCTCGGGGTCCTGGGATTAAGTCCCACGTTGGACTCTTAACAGGGAGCCTGCTTTTCCCTCTGCCTGTCTGCCTCTGTCTCTCATGAATAAATACATAAAACCTTTAAAATATATATATGAGATCTACCCTCTTAACAGATTTTTAAGTGTACAGCACAATATTGTTATCTACAGGAATAATATTATCCAATAGATCTCTAGACCTTATTCATCTTGCATAACTGAAACTTTACAGCCACTGATTACCAACTCCTATCCCTTTCCCCCTGGCCCCTAGCAACTACCATTATATTCTTTGTTTCTAGGAGTTTGACTATTTTAGATACCTTACATCAGTAGAATCATGCAGTGTTTGGCCTTCCATGACTGCCTTATTTCACTTAGCAAAATGTCCTCAAGGTTTGTCCGTTGTCACTTATGACAGGATTCCTTCCTTCTTAAGATGAATAATACTCCATTGTATATAAAACATTTCTTTTATCGATTCATCTGTCCAGTGGACATTTGTTTCCACATCTTGTGAATAGTGTCACAATGAATACAAGAGTGCTACTACTCTCTCTTCAAGAATTTGATTTAAATTCTTTTGGATAAATACCCAGATATGGGATTGCTGGGTCATATGGTAGTTCTATTTAATTTTTTGAAGAATCTCTGTAGAGGCTGCACCATTTAATATACCCACCAAGAGTGTACAAGGGTTCCACTTTCTCCATATCCTTGCCAACACTTGTCTTTGTTTTTGCTCTTCTATAATAGCTATCCTAACACGAGGTGATATTTTGTAGGGTTTTTTTAAAAGATTTTATTTATTTATTCGTGAAAGAGAGAGGCAGAGACACAGGCAGAGGGAGAAGCAGGCTCCATGCAGGGAGCCCGACGTGGGACTTGATCCCAGGTCTCCAGGATCATGCCCTGAGCCAAAGGCAGGCGCTAAACTACTGAGCCACCCAGGTTGCCTGCATTTTGTAGTTTTGGTTGGCATTTCCTTAATGATTCGTAACACGGAGCATCTTTTTATATACCTGTTGGTCATCTGACCTGTTGGAGATAGGTCTTCTTAAATCCTTTGCCCACTTTTCAGTTATTAGTTCTCTTGCTATTGAGTTATAGGAGTTCCTTTAACACTTTAGAAATTGATTCATTATCAGATCTATAGTCTGCAAATATTTTCTCCCATTTTGTAAGTTGCCTTTTCACTCCATCAATAGATTTCATTGCTATGTGTAAGTAAGTTTCTTAGTTTGATGTAGTCTCACTTGTCTATTTCTGCTTCTGTTGTCTGTGCTTTTGGTGTCATATCCACGAAATCATTGCAAAGATCAGGTTTCCTCTATTTTTTTTTTCTAGCTAGCATACAGTTTCAGGTCTTACATTTAAGTTCTTAATCCATTTCGAGCTGATGTTTGTGTAAGATCACGATCCACTTTTATTATTTTGCATATGAATATCCAATTTTTCCTAGCACCATTTATTGATACTGAGTTTTCTTTTTTAAAAAGATTTTATTTATTTATTTGAGAGACAAAGTGAGAGAGCAGGAACAGAGTGGGAGGGGCAGAGGAGAAGGGGAAGCGGACTGCCACCTGATCAGGGAGCCAGACGGGAGGCTCCATCCCAGGATCCCAGGTTCATGACCTGAGCCAAAGGCAGAGGCTAAACCCATGAGCTACCCAGGGGCCATGCAGTTTTCATTCAACGAATATTTATTTTATTTTTTAAATATTTTATTTATTCATGAGAGACAGAGAGAGAGAGAGAGAGAGAGAGAGAGAGGCAGAGACACAGGCAGAGGGAGAAGCAGGCTCCATGCAGGGAGCCCAATGTGGGACCCGATCCCAGGTCTCCAGGATCACGCCCTGGGCCCAAGGCGGGCACTAAACCGCTGACCCACCCAAGGATTCCTCAACGAATATTTACCGAGCATCTTTGGGCCAGGCATTACTGTAGGTATAAGAGATAGAGGCTAAGAATAACATAATGGTGATAAGCACACCCACTGGGGCCAAACTGCCTGGGTTCAAATCCTGGTACCATCATTTCTAACTGCTTGACCTTGAGCGGGTTACAAATTCCTTACACCCCAACGTCCTCATATATAAGAAAGGGATAACTACAGTCTTTTCATCACAGGACTGATGTGAGGATTGAAAGAATGAATATGTGTAGAGGTCCTGGACAGGCATCTGGCACCTGATAATCACTCCTAAGTGCTGGCTCTTAAGGCACGGTCCTTGCCTCTCAAGGAGCTCACAAATTACAGCTGCCCCTATCCACCTGACCCGCCTGGCCGTCAGGGCCATCTTGGCCTTCCGACCCTTCAAGGGACCCCTAGCTCCTGGCTACCCTCCCTTTCCTGGAACCGTGGGATGAATCGGGTGCAAGTGCCTACACCACCGATTCCTTGTGTGACTCTAGGTAAGTAGTTTCTCCCCTCTGGATCTCACTTAATGCACCTGTAAAGGAAGGAAACTGGCCCAAAATGCATTTCCAACATCCCAACAACCTCCTTGTTCTGGGCAGCTCCAGTTGAAACTATGTCAGCTTTGGGCAAGTCACTTCAGCTCTCGGCGTTGGTTTCCCCACCATGTAAAACGGGATAATATTACCAACCACGGGGCAGCCCGGGGGGCTCGGCGGTTTAGCGCCACCTTCAGCCCAGGGCGTGACCCTAGAGACCCCGGATCGAGTCCGGCTCCCTGCGTGGAGCCTGCTTCTCCCTCTGCCTGTGTCTCTGCCTCTCTGTGTGTCTCTCATGAATGAATAAATAAATAAAAAAATCTTAAAAATGTATATTACTAACCACCTCCGAGGTCGTAGTGCGGTTGTAGCGAGGCTGTCAGCGCTCTGCCGGGCACCTCAGCCTCCGGGCCCATCCGCCTCCGCCACTCGACGCATGCGCGCTGGCGCCCCGGCCGCGGGCGAGCCGGTTCCCGACTTCCGGTTCCGCCGGAACCCAGAGGCCCGACTCCCTAATGGCGGCGTCGGGGAGACAGGCCGCCGGGGGCGTTGAGGAGGCCGCACAGGAACCGCGAATTCTGGAACCGGGGGCAGCCCCATTTGGAAATTTCCCACATTATTCCCGCTTCCATCCTCCAGAACAGCGGCTCCGCCTCCTGCCCCCGGAGCTGCTTCGCCGGCTCTTTCCTCCGAGTAGTTCCGAATCGAGGCCGATCCTGGGGCTCGACGTGGGGTGTAACTCTGGGGTGAGTGACAGGGGCGGGGTCGGAGGTCCTGGAGCCGGACTGCTGGCTTCCTCCGCGTTCGCTGGGGCTTGGGTTTGGGCGTGACATCGCCCCACCCCTCCACCCCCAGGACTTTCCCAAAAATGATTCTAAAGGCGTCGCTTGGGCCGACCCCCTTGCTGCCGGACCTTCCACCACTGGGGACCATCGGGGACCCACCGCCATCTCGCTCAGGAATCCTGGGGAGGAATGATTTTTAACTCGGTTCCAAATTCCTGCGTCCCGTCCCGTCCCGTCCAGTGCGTTCGCTGCCTGATGGCCAGACCTCTTGTGGGAAGGGCCGCCGTATTTGGGGTTCCGGCGCTAGCCTCCTGTCCAGCGCAGCTGGGGGACCCCCAGGCTGCAGAGAGGGGGCTTCTGGACACCCACCTTTGGGAACGTAGGGTTGGGATCGCTCTACTGGGCGAGGTGAGCCGGGGTGACGGAATCATGTCTGGAATTAAGAGTCACGTGCCTGCCATGCAGTGTAGGATGGAGCCAAGTGGATGTTTATTTAAAAAGCAACGAGTTGACTGAGTTCCCTAGGAGAGGATGGAGAAGGAGAATACAGCTTCCTGGCGGAGGAAGGCATTGCCACGTCTTCTTACCGCAAAGTATTCTTAGGCATAGAGAGATTATAGTGAAATCACATCCAGAATATCACAATCTCTCTCCGACACCTATCTGTTAACTACTAGCATGTCCTAGAGACGCAGACATTCTGACCCTATGCTTCCAAATCCTATGCATATAATAAAAAGCAAGTCTCCACTCCTGACCCTAAATTCTCCTTTCCCCCTAACACAGTGGCAACCGCTGTTTATCATTCCTTGGATATGCATCCTGTGTGTACACAATCATTTCTATGTGGATAAATATCCTACCTTATATAAATAGCACACTATTTTCCACCTTGCTTTTCACTTAATTTGGAGAGCAGTCATGTCACTACATTCTTTTTTTAGCAGCTTCAAAATTGTATGGATGTACCATAATTTGTAGGGTTCTTTCTTTCTTTCTCTTTCTTTCTTTCTTTCTTTCTTTCTTTCTTTCTTTCTTTCTTTCTTCCTTCCTTCCTTCCTTCCTTCCTTCCTTCCTTCCTTCCTTCTTTTCTTTTCTTTTCTTTTCTTTCTTTCTTTTTTAAGATTTTATTTATTTATTCATGAGAGAGAGAGAGAGAGAGGCAGAGGGAGAAGCAGGCTCCATGCAGGGAGCCCGATGTGGGACTTGATCCCGGGACTCCAGGATCATGCCCTGGGCTGAAGGCAGGCACTAAACCGCTGAGCCACCCAGGGATCCCCTATAGGGTGCTTTCTTTACATTTCTGAAACTCTCAGGTCCCTCTCCAGACCTACTGATTCAGGATCTTGGGTGATTGAGCCCTTGAGTCTGCATTTTCTTTTTCAGTCTTCTAGGGTATTCTGGGATTGGGGAATTGAGGATGGAGAGGGTGGAGAGATGTGGAGGAGGGACTGATGTAACAAAATGACTACTGAAACTGGCATACCCAAGATCAGATAGGAAGAGGGAGTCAGCAAAGAAAGAAAGAGAGAAATGGGGAGAAAATTAAGGAGCATAGTATAGGACCTTCCTACTCAAAATGTGGTCCTTGATCTACAGCATCAGCATGACGTGGAAGCTTATTAGAAATACAGAAGAATCTCAGGGGGCTCCTAGATGACTCTTAAGAGTCCGACTCATGATCTCAGCTCAGGTCTTGATCTCAGAGTTGTGAGTTCAGGCTCTGCTTTGGGCTGCACACTGGGCATGGAGCCTATGTATAAAAAAAAAAAAAAAAAACTAGAGGGATGCCTGGGTGGCTCAGTGGTTGAGCATTGCCTTCTGCTCAGGGTGTGATACTGATCCAGGAATCAAGTCCTGCATCAGGCTCTCTGCAAGGAACCTGCTTCTCTATGTCTCTCCTTCTCTGTCTCTCATGAATAAATAAATAAAATCTTAATAAAAAAAAAAAAAACTAGAAATACAGAATCTCAGTCTCCCCTACCCCACAATCTACTAAATCAGCATTTTTATTTTTAATAAGATCCATAGGTGATATGCATATTATTGTTAATATAGATATTAAAGTGTGAGAAGCCTGGTATAGAGGGAAGAACCTAATGTAGCCTAAATCTTTCTATGTACTGGGACATCTGGGTGGCTCCTCGGTTTAGCACCTGCCTTTGGCCCAGGGCATGATCCTGGAGTTCTGGGATTGAGTCCCACATCGGGTTCCCTGCAGAAAGCCTGCTTCTCCCTCTGCCTGTGTCTCTGCCTCTTTCTCTCTCTGTGTGTCTCTCATGAATAAATAAATAAAATCTTAAAAAAAAAATCTTTCTATGTGCTAACCATGTGACATTGGACAAGTCAGCCTCTGAACCATAATTTTTAAAATATGGAATTTTTTGTGAACTATGTCACACATAAAAGCGCATAAAACATGTATTTATACACCTTTATTGTCCAGATCAAGTATAAAACATTGTCAGTACTCCAGAAGTCCCTTCTCTCACTTCCTCTGTTCATAAACCGCCCCCCTCCACCCAGAGGTAACAACTAGCCTCATTTTATTATTATTTACTTGCTTTTCTTTATAGCTCACTATTTTTGTATCCCTAAATATTGTAATTTAATCTGATTGGAATTTTTGGACTTCATATAAATGGAAGCTTGCCATGTATTTTGTTTTGTGTCTTCTCTTTTACTCAGCATTGTGTATTTTTTTAAATACAATCTTTTAAAAAGAAAAGAAAGAGAGCATGAGAGAGCATGAGCAAGAGGTAGGGGCAGAGGGAAAGGGAGGAACATATTCCCTGCTGAGCAAGGAGCCTGATGCTGGACTTGATCCCAGGATCACGATCTGGGCTGAAGGCAGACGCCTAACCGACTGAGCCACCCAGGCACCCCACCATTCATTGTATATTTGTGAGAGTCATCCATGTTGATGCACTGAACTGAATTCCTTCTATTTAGTATTCCATCTTAATGACTATACCACATTTATCCATGCTATTATTATTGGACATGAGGTGGTTTCCAGCCACACTTTCCTCACCTGCACAAAGGGCATAAGTATTTTCCCTACAAGACTGTTGCACAAAAAAAAAAAAAAAAAAAGACTGTTGCACAGAGCAAAATGAGGTGATACATAAAAATTCCTTGAAAAAATGGCTTAGAACAACACAAATTTGGAGTGGTTATAATGGTTATAGAAGTCAAAGTGAAAAAAAAAGAAGTCAAAGTGAGAGAAAGGAGATGGTAACTTGTTTAAGAGTCAAAAAAGTGCTGAAATGGTGAAAATCACAGGCCATTAGACTTGGCTAGAAAGATTAGCAGTGACTTTTGGGAGTAATGGATGCAGAAGCAGAATAAATCTCAGAAGGGGGTAGTGAAGCATAAGCCAGGTAGTAAAATTAAGGCTATAGAGTGAAGACTAAATGAGGAATTTTTGGAATTGAGACTTACCTAGGTACATACAAGTCTGAAAAGCAGATTTTTATAAGATGGTGCTTGCTCTGTTCCTCACCTTCCTGATTAGGAACACTGGTTATGCCCTTGGAACTCTTTTTTCCTCCCTGGGGTCTAAGACACCTAAAAAAAGAAAAGAGAAAAAAGTGAGTTTACCAGCATATTACTTAAGCTGGGAAAGACTGCTCTTGGCTCCGTTGCTGCATCCATTTGGCTGTAACTTTCAGCCATACAATCCAATGTACGTACCATCAATGTCAGGAAAGTAGAGAGAGGACATATTATAGCCTAAGACCCCTGGAGGGCGCTGAGAACCTGCTCTGTAGAAAACTTTTTGGGCAAACTTAGTCTAGGAGCTTCATATTCTATAAGCCAAGAGTAAGTGACAGTCTAGTGGGATGATAAGAGATACAGGTTTTTCTTCCATTCATTGGTTGAGAGCTGCAATGACAAAGCTCTTCTGGATTTCTCTAGGATCTGAGTGTGGCTCTATACAAACACTTCCTTTCCCTACGTGATGGGGAGACCTGCTCAGATGCCTCAAGAGAACTCCATCTACTCTGCTGCGACATAGATCCAGTCCTGGTGGAGCGAGCTGAAAAAGAATGCCCTTTTCCTGATGCCCTGACCTTTATCACCCTGGACTTTATGAATCAAAGGACCCGGGAAGTTCTCTTGAACTCTTTCCTAAGCCAGTTTGGACGTTCAGTTTTTGATATTGGCTTCTGTATGTCAGTAACCATGTGGATTCATCTGAACCATGGGGACCATGGCCTATGGGAGTTCCTGGCCCACCTTTCCTCCCTTTGCCGCTACCTCCTTGTGGAGCCACAGCCCTGGAAGTGTTACCGGGCAGCTGCAAGGCGTCTCCGGAAGCTGGGTCTTCATGATTTTGACCACTTCCGTTCCCTTGCCATCCGAGGTGATATGGCCAATCAGATTGTGCAGATCTTGACCCAGGACCATGGCATGGAATTAGTATGCTGCTTTGGCAACACCAGCTGGGACCGAAGCCTTCTGCTCTTCAGGGCAAAACAAACTACAGAGACTCATCCGATTCCTGAATTACTGACAGAGGAAGGGAAAGAAAGGAACAGATTAAGATTCTGGAGACAGTGAAATGGGAGGATGGGAAGACCAAGAAAGAGATATTGAAAGAGTGTTACACTAAGAATTAAGTTCACTCTCTTTAATTCATGATTATAAGGCAGCCTCAAAACCTGGCAGAAACTTGGCAAAATGTCCAAGACATGCAGTTGAAAGAATCAATATCATCTATACCCTACTGTTTGAGTTGATCCTAGAAAAATATATATATGGGCAGTGGGCTGGGCTATCCAGATTGAGATAGCCTAGAGAAAGTGATCCTGGTTCTAGGATATGGAAGGGGCTGCTTTTAGTGATTAGACTCAGACCAGGCTAGCCTTAGAATGTATCAGTGACACGGGGAACCTGAATCTAATCTGGCTTCTTCAGGCTTTTTCTGGATTTACTCATCCTGCCTTCAGGCAAAACCTCAAAATACAATCTGGAAAGAAGAGTCAGTGGCCTGGCTAAAGGAGAAGGTTAGTAAGAAAAATATCTTATCTTTCCAGAGCAGGTCAAGTCTCCAACATGCCCAGGCTCAGCACAGCAGGTACTAGCCAAATTGCACTGACTAGCATTTATAAAATGTTTAAAGATTTAACTTATGAACCCAATATCCAAATGGTACAAATGAAATAAATGAAGTGGGATTGTATAATTATATATAATAAAAGTGACTTGAGTATGATTGAGAATGCTCTGCGATTCTGGCATAGGTAGGAAACTTCTGCTTTTAACCACTCTATCCGAGGAGGTTTCAGCTCAAGAAAAAGAACCTCACCCAAGCTCAGAACAGAAATCGTGTCAAAGAGTAAGTTAATTCAGGACTTTTGTCCTCTGCCAAACCATACCAGTATGGGAGTGGGAATAATATGCAGGGAAGCAGGCATAAAATGCAGTCTACAGTGAGGGCTATAGCACAAATGCTATGGGATAGGTGTCACTAATGTCTGTCAGGTTTTGACACCTGTGAGTTGAGTCCAAGGGAGATGGAGAAAGATTCGTTTGGTGGAGAGAAGATGAAAAAACAAAATATACCTAGCTAAGAGGGGAGACTGGATTGATGAGCTTCAAAATCTTTAAGAACCTATTTTTCTGAAGTTTTAGAAGGAAGAGTACGGAATAAGAGAGTGAACCACCAATTAGACATTGGACCTCTTGATGGAGAAGTTAGTAAAAGTTCCTGCTAGGGAATTTGAACTTTATGCTTGAGAGAGCAAAAACTAGTACATAGTACAGTCTCTAAACGATAGAAAAACAGAACCCAAACCTTCATTTAGGAAAACCAATTTTTCTATTTTGTGCAGGATAATTATGTGGTTGGTGACATTTCCAATCTCAGACTCCAGTACTACTTTTCAGTCTTTTTATATTCCTGCTCCTTATCACTTTCATCCTAGTGACTCTTCTAGACTTTTACCCTTTTGCAGGTTCTTGACTCTATACCTCTACTCCATTAATCTAAGCAGATGACCTAACCAGCACCAGCACCATTCTTGTTTGCTGTGTCAGGAGGTGTTTTCTTGCCCTAACTCTTAGACTCCTTCATTTTCCCTCCTTTTCACTTCTGAACTTACCCAGTGAGCTTTTACACAAATAACTTCTGCCTGAATTCCTGATCCCAACCTCTACTACCTCTCCCAAATTGCTTTATTGAGTGTCTCCTTGGTGTCTCCTTGGCCTCGTTAACTTCTTCTTGTTCACCTTCCAACATGCTCAATTCTCTCTCGTCTTCCAATTTTAGTATATGTGCTGCCGAAGCGAGCACTCTCTCTCGTCTTCCAAAACCTCCACAACTTTTCCTGTGTCCACTAGCCCTTCAAGTTTATTTAATCTCTCCCTCCATCTCTTTACCACCAAACATGAGCAAAGCCCTTGAAAAACTAGACCCCACAGCCTTTGCTTTCTCATTTCCCATTCATCAGTGATCCCCCAAATGCCAAATCCTGAGGCCTCTTGTTCAGTCTTCCTCCTAGGTCATGGCCACTATTCAGCACTATTGACTCCTCCTTTAAACTACTCTCCCTAGGTTTCTTCACCATACCCTTCTCCCTTTATTCTCTTCCCATCTCTTAGTTTTTCTCCATTCTTGAAGCAGTTAGTTCAAATTGTAATTGAACTTAAGTTAACCTGGAGTCCTGGATTCATCTCCAGAAACAGTGATTTGGGTTAGGAGTGGGGCCTGGGAATCAGTTTAGTTTGGTTTAATCAGATTTGGGGTTTTTTTGCAATTTTTTATTGTGGTAAAATGTATATAACATAAAATTTACCATTTAAACTGTTTTTAAGTGTACAATTCCATGGCATTGAATACATTGACAATGAAGAATAGTTTTTTGATAAAAAACAAAAACAAAACAACAAAAAAAAAGCACAGGTAACTGATGCAAACCAAAATAGACCACACTTTGGATTGCTTAGGATTCCTTGGGGTCATACAGTCCTCTTCTACCTATTTCCCCTCGAGTGAGTTCCTCCACTCCCATGCCTTTAACAACCACCTATATCCTAATAACCCCCAAATATATTGGTAGCCCCACCTCCACAGTCATAGATTAATATTGTTCCTCTTTTGTAGTCGTATCATCCAAAAGTTCTTAGTCACCTCAGAGTCAACATATCCCAAAAGCAAACTCATTACACTCAATTCACACCTAATCCAATATGTTGTTGCCATCCACCCATTGCTCAAGCTACAAACTTCAGTTGAGTCTCCTCACTTATATTCACCACATTGACAAAGTCCAGTAAATTCTACAAATAACATGTAAGTCCCATTTATTCCAACCATGTGGCTGGTGCCTACCATGCATTTCTCTGTTAAGTCATCTACCCTCCAATCCCTACTGCCACTGTTCCCTTCCTCAAATAACTAGTTATGCAAGTACTATGCTTTAAAGCCTTCAGTGTAAAAAATAAATAAATAAATAAAGCCTTCAGTGGTTTCCTAGTGTCTAATGTCCTGTCATTTATCCAGTGCCTAAGCCAGTGTTAGTCTGTAGTAGCCACTTGCTATTTAAGTAACGAAATAAATAAAATTTAAAGTTCAGCTCCTCGGTCATACTAGCCACATTGCAGGTGTTCAATAGGCATATGTGACTAGTGGCTATCTGGTTAGACAGCACAGATGTAGACCATTTCAATCACCGCAGAAAGTTCAACAGTGGTGGTCTTCATACTTTTCCTCCACACACCGGTCACACTAAAGTCACCTACCACCCTGTCAGACTTGCCATGTCCTTTCATACCTCTGAGACTTAGCACATACTCCCTCTATTTCCATTCTTGCTCCTCCACTCTAACTTGCAATGTAATTGAACTATTTGTCCTTAAAGATGGCTCAGATGTTAATACTTTGTCAGAAATCTTCCCCCAACTCCTGTAGCACTTTGCATTTCTTACCACATTCTAGTGGGGACTTTGTGTGGAAGCTTCTATTATAGTATTTACCTCATCATATTATAATTACTTACATGGCTCCGTCCCACCACCAAGACATATCTCCTCAAGCCCAACTTACTTTGTACGTTGAGCCCTAGCACAATGGCTGACACAGGACAGGCAGCTGAGAAGTACTTGTTGAATTAATATATGAATGAACAAAAGAGGAATGTGCCTGAATTCAAGTATTAAGAAGAGGGGAATCCCGGGTGACTCAGCGGTTTGGCATCTGCCTTTGGCCTAGGTAGGGCGTGATCCTGGAGTTCTGGGATCGAGTCCCACGTTGGGCTTCCTGCATGGAGCCTGCTTCTCCCTCTGCCTGTGTCTCTGCCTCTCTCTCTGTCTTTCTCTATGTCTTCCATGAATAAATAAATAAAATATTTTTTTAAAAAAGTATTATGAAGAAAAGGGAGATCTATGATTGGGTAGAAGATTGCCCAGGAAATTGAAATGGGGAGAAATTAAAAAATTAGGGAGATAAGCTTAGTTTTGGCATAGAAGTTTGAGATATATTTTTTCTCAAACATATCTTTGCAATAAAGTACCCATTTGAGGGCACCTGGGTGGCTTGGTTAAGCGTCTGACTTCCGCTCAGGTCATGATCCCAGGGTCCTGGGGTTGAGCCCCTGCGTTTAGCTTTCCTGCACAGTGTAGGGGAGCCAGCTTCTTCTCCCTCTACCTCTCCCTCCTGCTCGTGCTCTCTCTGTCCATATCAAGGCTTGGGCTATTAATTGTTTGCTTCAGGACAGTAAGAGTAGATATAAAAATATGGAAGTCATTCATATACAGTGATTGAGGTTTAAGGAGTAGTAAATTCCAAAAATACATGGATATGATGAAAGGACCAGGTCCTAGGTGTGAGGGCTGCCAATAGTTGTTGAGTGAGGGAGAAAGGAGAAACCAAAAGAGGTCTGGTTAGAAACAGGAAAAAAGAGATTAATAATATAGTACCATGTGCCAGACAACATAAAAACTAAAGCAGAGCTGGGCTTTGAACCTAGACAGTGTGGTGGCAGAGTCTAAGCCTTGGCTACCATGCCTTGAGATGTCACAGAAATCCAAGACTGGGAAGAAACTCCAGAAAACCAGTGTAAAAGAGCCTGAGCTTTGGAGTTACTGTGCTTCCTCAAGTTATATGTTCAAACCTGAGAAGAGGAGACCCAGCCAGGCCACTCTTGGCTATTGCGGATATTCTTAGAAATCCCCTCACAGAAGTCAGGCCTCATTCTAGGTTGAGTACCTAAGTAGCACCCCTGCTGCTGCCTACCATTTAAACAGGCTTGGCCCTCCTGAGTGTTTTGGAAAAAGTGGGCGGCTACACAAAGCACACAGACGTTCTTAAGTCTCCCTCAGTCCTAATTTTCTTCTCACTGTACCTTTGACTACCTGTACCTTTGCCAGCTACCCTAACCTTCCCCTGAATTCCTGAAATGCCTAATCTGCCCCTAATTTTGATCCCTGACTAGGACCTCCTAAAAGTGGGTTTCAGTCTCTGTTTCATGCTTAGGAGTCAGGGATTCCAAGCTCAACTCCAGGATGTATTAAGATCCTGAGATCAATCAGATCCTTCTCAGCACCATGAGATCAAGTTTGATCCAGGAAGAATGCAGTGGAAAGAACATCAGGGTTTAGAATTGAGATCTGTCAGTAACTCATTGCATGACCACCCTGTTCAAGTCACTTCACCTCTTTGAACCTGTTTACTCATCGGTACAACTGAAATAACAAGACCTTCCTTTTCCTATGCCCAAATGAACTGGAGGGTTACACGTATTTTGCGGAAGATAGAGTGCTAAGCACTCTTAAGCACTCTTACACTTGGTAAGCATGCCACAGACCACAACTATGCTTGTTAGATTAAAGGCTTATGAGAAAAAACATCTCATCTCTAGAAAACTTGCATCTTACTATCTCTAATAATTTGTTTTTTAGGATAAGGATGTAATGAGTTCAGCATCAGCACTACAGAGCATTTTAAAGGAAGCAATGCTGGGAGGGAATGATCATTGCTAATGGAAATGAAGCCAGTTTATGATGGTCTCAGGGTGATCACAATGGTTACAGATGTGAATTTACCTACTTCTCTGTAAAGCTTAAGGATACTTTGAAACTTTGTGACTCTCCCTTCACCAGATTAGTGCAAAGAAATGTATATAAGGCTGTGGGAGGCTGAATAATGGTCCCCCAAGATGTTCACATCCCAATCCCTAGAACTTGTGAATACTACCTTAGATAGCAAAAGGAACTTTGTAGATGTATACAAATGTGTAAGATATATAGATTAAGGACCTTGGTTAAGAATTACAGATTTTAGGGGGATCCCTGGGTGGCTCAGCGGTTTGGCGCCTGCCTTTGGCCCAGGGTGCGATCCTGGAGTCCCGGGATCGAGTCCCGCGTCGGGCTCCCAGCATGGAGCCTGGTTGTCCCTCTTCTCTGCCTCTCTTTCTCTCTATGTCTATCATAAATAAATAAATAAATCTTTAAAAAAAAAAAGAATTACAGATTTTAGGAGCACCAAGGTGGCTCAGTCGCTTAAGTGTCTATCTTCAGCTCAGGTCATGATCCCAGAGTTCTGGGATAGAGCCTCACAAGCCCCACATTGGGCTCCCTGCTCAGCAGGGAGTCTGCTTCTCCCTCTGCCCCTCCCCCTGCTTGTGTATGTATGCTGTCTCTCAAATAAACAAAATCTTTTTTAAAAAAAAGGATGACAGGGATGCCTGGGTGGCTCAGCGATTGAGTGTCTGCCTTTGGCTCAGGTCATGATCCTGGGGTCCTGGGATTGAGTCCCACATCGGGCTCCCTGCAAGGAGCGTGCTTCTCTCTGCCTGTGTCTCTGCCTCTCTGTGTGTCTCTCATGAATAAATAAATAAAATATTTTTTAAAAAAGGGTAACAGATTTTGAAATTTAAAGATTAATCTGGATTATCAGGATGGACCCTAAATGTAATCATAGTCCTTATAAGAGGGAGACAGGGAGATTTGACCACAGCAGGAGAATGATAGAAGCAAGAGGTTGGAGTGATGTAACCAAGGGTTGTGAGCCAAGAAATGCAGTTAGAAAAGGCAAGGAAATGGATTCTCCCCTGAAGCTTCCAGAAGGAATACATCCCTGCCAACACCTTAATTTTAGACTTCTGACTGTAAGAATATAAATTTGTGTTGTTTTAAAACGGTAAGTTTGTGATGATTTTTTACAATAGGAACAGGAAACTAATACAGGGGCTCTGACTACAATAAGGCTAGGCTACAAGCCAAGTGGTACCTGTCCCAAATAACTCTTTGATGGTAGAAAATGGCCCCAGTGACCAAAGGGATAGGCAGGGGCTCCATCTGCATGGTTAACTGAGGAATCCTCAATCATTAAAACCTTTAGGAGATGCTTCAGCATCTGAACCTGACTTCTATTGGCTGAGCAGTTATCTGACCTGTTGAAAGGAATCGCTGTATTTCAAGTCTGTAGCAGTTAGTTTCAAAGAAGCTGTATAGTGTTCATAGAGATGAGGCCCCGATACCATAAAGGTAATGATTGCATACTGGCTTATGAGAGCCTTTGGGGACAGTGAGAATATCTTTGGTTCCAAAAGATCATCTTATTTATCCTCAAACCAACCTAACTTAGGAGCTGCACTAGGCATAATAAGCCTTCTTGAGGGACAAGAATAGAAAATGGTCCTGGATCTACTTTAACTTAAAAAAAATATATATATATATATTACATGTATATATAACCCAATATTTCCTCAGTTTTCTTTTTTTTTTTAATTTTTATTTATTTATGATAGTCACAGAGAGAGAAAGAGAGAGAGGCAGAGACATAGGCAGAGGGAGAAGCAGGCTCCATGCACTGGGAGCCCGATGTGGGATTCGATCCCGGGTCTCCAGGATGGCGCCCTGGGCCAAAGGCAGGCGCCAAACCGCTGCGCCACCCAGGGATCCCCGCCCCAATATTCCCAAAAATAGCATTTCAACATGCAGTCAGTATACAAATTATTAATGAGATACGTTACATTGTTTTTTTATACTGTTCTTCAAAATCTGATGTGTTTTAACTTGCATCTTGTCTCAGTTTGGACCAGCCACATTTCAGATGCTCATTAGTTACATGCGGCCACTGCATACACTTTTGTGGCAAATCAAGAAGTATTTTATCAAATTCCTTCCATATACCCAGTGTGCTTTAGCTGCTTTGGGGGTAGGAAAAAGTAGATTAAACAACCCTGGACTTCCAAAAGTTAGATTTGATTCATTCAAAGATGCCTGGGTGGCTCAGTGGTTGAGCGTCTACCTTTGGCCCGGGGCATGATTCCGGGATGGAGAATCGAGTCTCACATCAGGCTCCTTGCAGGGACCCTGCTTCTCCCTCTGCCTGTGTCTCTGCCTTGCTCTCTCTCTCTATGTCTCTCATGAATAAATAAAATCTTAAAAAAAAAAGGATTTGATTCATTCAGCAAATATGTTAAAGTTGAGAAAAGGAGAGGCACAAACAAGGCAGCATGTGATAATG